AAAAAAAAAAAAAAAAAAATCTAAACCAAATCTAACAAAAGAAGCCCAAAAAAAAATCTTAGCAAAATCTAATAATGAAAAAAATCGAAATGAAAAAAAAACAAAAGAAAACTCCACCTTAATCTGAAAGGGCTGCCCGAAAAACGGGCGCCCGTTACTTTTCGTGGGGACACTAAGTCCCCATCAGTTCTCCCTGCGCCAGCTGGCGCTTCGTTTTTAGTTTAGTTTAGTTTTTTTCTTTTTTCTTTTTTTCTTTCTCTTTTCCCCCAACGGTCACTTCCCGTCGGGTCGCTTTGCCCAGATGACACCAGAAACAAAAAAAAAAACAAAAGAAAAACGAACCGACTTACCTCGACATTGTTGTTGTCTCCATCGCGCCCGTAGCTGGATGCTTACGCGTCCAGCTACGGAGCAGGTAAGGTTTTTTTTTTTTTTTTTTGTTTTTTTTTTTTTTTTTCTAGAAAAAAAAAAAAATTGAACCATTTCTCGATTTATGCGTGTCATCCTCACCCAGGGGCCATGTTATTCCAGCGCCCTTGTCACATCGCGGGCGGTAGTGCAGCTTGTCAGGTTCGATCCCCATGTCTGCGGGGTGATAATCTGGCGACGGTACCTACTGGGCTAGCTCCTTTTCACATCACAAAAGGAGCAGCCCTTCTATATGAAGGGCTTCCAATGCCCACCAGACCCCTTCCTGGTGCCTAGCAGGCTACGCCTGCTAAGCCAGCTTGCTGCCGTGGCCGGCGGCGGGGTCGGCGACCGACAACTTTAACAGTTGCCCTACTCAGCCGGCCTCGACGCCTTCGCCTCTGGTCCCTAGCGCAAACGCCCTATGGGCCCTAAGTCATCCCTTCAAGCCGCCGTCCTTGTCGCGGCGACCCCTTTTTGGCCTGCTTAGGCCCTGAATCACGCAACTTAACAGTCGCGCGACCTTATTATAGGTAGACTAGGTTTATCTTTAGTTTTCCCACGACCGCACACTACTGCGGTCTCGTCGAGACCCGCGGATGGCAGTGTCGACTCCCGTTATCCCGCACGGATGTCGATGTTGTCCTGTGTCGACGACGTCAGGTTCAAAAAACGTTTAAGTCTCTCACTCATAGCACTGGTCTGAATAAACTTTGGCACGTCAATCTCATCAAGTCTTCCAATTTAGTGAAAAGGTCAGACAACGTCTGACGTTGAAAAACACGGGCAGATACCCTTGTCAGGGTTTCTGCCGCGACACAGGCGTTTCACAAACGCTGGACCCCCACACCTCTCTTTGCCAGCAGGGGGGTCCGGCGTTTGCGAAACGCTGGACCCTCTCCCTCTTCGATGCCAGCAGGGGGAGAGGGTCCGGCATTTCACAAACGCTGGACCCCCGCACCTCTCTCTGCAAGTAGGGGGGTCCGGCGTTTGCGAAACGCTGGACCTTCTCCCCCTTCGATGCCAGTAGGGGGAGAGGGTCCGGCGTTTCACAAACGCTGGACCCCCTGCACCTCTCTCTGCCAGCAGGGGGGGTCCAGCGTTTGCGACACGCTGGACCCTCTCCCCCTTCGGCATCGAAGGGGGAGAGGGTCCGGCGTTTCACAAACGCTGGACCCCCACACCTCTCTCTGCCAGCAGGGGGGGCCCGGCGTTTGCGAAACGCTGGACCCCCTCCCCCTTCGATGTCGAAGGGGGAGAGGGTCCGGCGTTTCACAAACGCTGGACCCCCACACCTCTCTCTGCCAGCAGGGGGGTCCGGCGTTTGCGAAACGCTGGACCCTCTCCCCCTCCGGCTGGACCCCCACACCTCTCTCTGCCAGCAGGGGGGTCCGGCGTTTGCGAAACACTGGACCCTCTCCCCCTTCGGCTGGACCCCCACTAAACTTTCTGCACCAAGGGATGCCCTCCCTGGAACGGTCACATGCGAGGGACTGCTGTTAGGGGCTACAGTTGGTGATGTGGTGATGATACCCTGTCCCTTCTTAAAGGACTGTTCCCGTGGGTGGTGCGCAGGCAGTATCTGTGATAGTACGATGCGCTAGCCCAGGGGAGTTCGTGTGCAGAGGTTGTATAACCCGCTTCGCTTCGCGCCCTCGTGGGGTCCAGCGTTTGCGAAACGCCAGACCCTCTCCTCCTTCGCCACAGGTAGGGGAGTGGGTCCCCCACTCAACTTGTCCAGCGTTCCACAAACGTTGGACCCCCACTCAACTTCGTGCACCAATGTAGATCCTCCCTGGAACGATCACTTGAGAGGGTCTGCTGTTAGGGGATCCAGTTGGTGATATGGCGCTGAYAGTTGTGGGGGAGAGTCTTTCGGTATGTAGACCCCCCTGCTGGCARGCAGAGGTGTGGGGATCCAGCGTTTGCGAAACGCCGGACCCTCTCCTCCTTCGCCGCAGGTAGGGGAGTGGGTCCAGCGTTCCACAAAYGCTGGAGCCCCGCTGCTCTTCGTGCCCCCAAGGGGTCTGCGTTTGTGAAAAGCCGGACACTCTCCCTCTTCGACACAGATAGGGTGGAGGGTCCAGCGTTTCACAAACTCTGGCCCCCCACTCAACTTCGTGCACCGATGTAGACCCTCCTTGGAACGATCGCTTGAGAGGGTCTGCTGTTAGGGGATCCAGTTGGTGATATGGCGATGACAGTTGTCTGTTTGTTCAGTCGGTCTTTGCGTATGTTTTGCCCGTTCAGGAAGGAAACTGAGGAATTCAGGAGATGGGGAGAAAAGGATAAACAACAGGTCCAAACACTACCGTGATAAGCTTTGGGCTCTTGACTGGGTGGGTGGCACCCATGAGGTCGGATGTGGTGCTATAATTTTCTTGACGGAAGACGGAGGTCTGAATTGGTACTGTTGTGGTGGCATCATGAAGTCCGAGGGCGATAAGGCGACGACGGAGAAGGGCAAGGTTGACGACAGAGAATTGAGGAAATTCCATCTCACTTCCGTTTACGATGAACAGGGCACCGACTGGGTCGACGCCGACAAGAAAGTCAGCCTCGACCTAGCCCTGTTCAAAGGGTACGGTCAGAGGGCGTTCGGTATGAAACCTTTCGAAGCGAAGGGGGGTGGAACTGAGGTTCGGATGGTTCATCCAGTGGATTTCCTTAACAAAACAAACAACTATAGAAAAAGTGGTCAGTACCCGAAGGTAGACGCCGGTCATCAGTTCACAGGACCGCTTGTCCCGTACGACACTCCGGTCCAGGGCGTCGCTAGCATTTTGAAGTCTTGTGGTGAAGCACGCCAAGAGCCTTCAACTTCTTAGCAACATTCAGACGTTGCTCAGAAGGTAATTACGTACTCCAGGCCGTCGGGGGCAGGTTCATCGGATAAGGCTGCGAAGAGGAAACAACTCGCCACAACTCCACCGCAACTGCAAGGACCTGCTGCGACTGCTGGCACTTCACGCTCGCGGCAGACGGATCTTCAAGCCGTCGACCAACGGTCTGAGGAGCAAACGGAAACGGAGGAGGATGTTGGGTTCTGCGGACGGGACGTGGGGTTCTTGGAGGACTCACGACGCGGGGGCGCCGGAGGAGACAGCGAAGGGAACGTGGAACTCGAACAACGTCCTCGTGGCAGTGGGCGATGTGATGACGACTGTTCGGATGAGGAACACAATGACAAGGAACAAAGTGAAATGGGTGCTTCGAGTGGTGGGCCACACAATGACAGGGAACAAAGTGAACGAATTCAGAATGAGGATGAGCAGGACGATGGAGGGGATGGCGATGTAGAAACGGGTGGGGCTTCGAAGAGTAGGTCTAAGCGGAAAGCAAATGCATCCCTAACACCAGCAGCGATGAAGAAACGAGCCAGAAAAGAAGCTGTGGATGATGCTCGATGTGCCTTGGATGCATCACAGGAAACGCTTGGCGAAGCCGGCAAGAAACGTAAAGAAGGCAGTTGTTTTCGCAAGACATCGCAACCTAAGAGGGCTGCACGTTCATCAAGGCTTCTTAAGTCAGATGATTCAAGTGATGACGCTGAAGGGGTGGGCCCTCGTCGGCCTGACCTCATTGCCGAGGACGAAACGGAAACGAAGAAGCCCCGTGCGGTCGACATAACACGGTGCTTCTTTCTCAAGTACGATGAAGACGGCAGGAAAAGAAAAGACGTGCCAAGGGTTTGCATAGATGTCATGTCGATTCTTCCGATTCCTGAGGGGAATATCGAATTCAACCAGCGGTCGCTGAACAAGGCAATTGTTGCAGGTCTCGATGCATTAATTGATAGGTCCACTGCTCAAAGGGGTGTGGATGATGATGCTCCGTGGGAAACGTCGGAGTTGATACTCGCTCCAATTACGCCTTGTGCGAATGACCCCAATGTCCAAGGAACACGTGTTCTTCCGGAGGACTTTGATTGGAGGCGTGCGAAGGAATACTTCTATTACCCGGTTGCTGGGCAGCACACCGAAGAGGCCATGAAAATAGTGGTACGTCGGGGATCTTCTGTTGTTGCCATTTACGGTTTGCACGATTATGACCGCGTGCGCGTTGTTTACTTTGATGACGATCGCAAACACGGGTATTCGGTTGTTTCGACATACGACAACACAAGAGGTGACCATGCCATGTTACCGTCGTTCCACCAGGCGTGTGAAGACATAAGAGGTTTTTGGCGGTTGAAGAATTACATCGAGCCTGTGGGTTTCAAGGTGGCTGAAAACGACATCAACGGTAAAATACACCAGGAGACGTGGCGGGAATTCATGAGGGKTTGCATGACCCGATCATGTGAAAAAAGCCTTTGGACTGAGGCCTTGCATCCGAAGTGGCAGCCCGACTGGTCGAACCGGATGAGAGGATACATGAACGTGGCGACGTGTAAGAGGTGGATATGGCCGTTGGTGAAAGAGTTTTTTGAGAAGTTCGAAGTAGGAGAGTTGCCACTTTACGATGGCAGGCGCCCTAGAGATATGCCGGGGAGGCAAGAGGGGAAGCTTCCGGGGCAATATACGGAAGAAGTCAATGGGAAAAAGGAGGGGTTCCATTGCATCGCGGCTAAGGACGGGGGGTATGGAGCCACCGTCACCTTCAAAGATCTCGTTCTATCAAACTTCAAATGCTTTGGAGATATGACGGCGCGAGAGAAGGAAGTCGCATTGAGGTTGATGATCAACAAGAAGGTCATAGCCACCGCTAGACAGGTTCCTACGGGGAAGTTGAACATGAACAACCTCCTCGACATTATCATGCGAGAGAGGTACATGATGCATCTCTTCAACTACATCGTGTTCAAATCGGAGAACAGAGAGAAGGACGACTGGAACCAAGAGTTCTTCTTCGATTACAAGGGCATGACAGAGAGGTACGGTTTTTCAGCGGAAGCATGGGACGAGGAAAGGGATAAAATCCCTTTGAAGTACGTTAGGAAGGTTCCAAAACGACTTAGTGGCGACCAAGAAATGAAAGGCCTGAAAGGAGCAGGGTTGAAGGCCACAGAGGCATTGTATAAAGATGCGCCATTTCATTTTAAGGTCTTCGTGTACCAGGCGATAGGAAAGGTGGATTTGCTCACGGCAGAGATGCAGCGATTATCAAATGCTGCGCTTCACCTGTTGTGGGAAGGGAAAGGGCGACGAGCAACATTGCTGCCGATTAATATGAACCCAAAGGAGCTACTGCCTGCGCAAGATGACGTCGTTACCGCTGCCACAAACCTTAATTGCAAGGCCACCATCTTGGATCTCGCATTACCATCGCATTGCTCTGCCTGGCCGCCGGAGGACTTCAACGCTCTATACAAAATGATGTCAAAGTTGTGCGGCAAGAATTGGACATTGATCGTCTTCGCGCCACAGAAACGTCACAAGACCGTCATGCGACACCTCTACAATTGGGAGAACGTTGAGGTGATACCAGGCACTTGGAAGCGCTTTATGGGGGTCGGAACGGCTGTCAATAAATATGGGAATATGCAAATTGAGAGTAAGGACACGATGGCAATCGTCCTGCATGCCGAGGGATGTGACCTCAGAAAGGTTACAAGAGTGCCGCGCTCAGAAGCGGACATTGTGGAAGTAAACGTCGTGGAACAATTTTTTAAGCGGTGTGCAGCAAAACATGGCAGCGATGAAGGCAGTGAAAAAGAGGAGTATGGGCGTTGGGAACGAGAGCCGCGGCGGCTACAAACCTTATGCAGCTCATTTCTGCATGAGGACGAAGGGGTTATAGTCTTTGGGAAGCCACATGCTGGCCTTGTGTGGGAGCTTTTGCGCGCGGGGAACCATGTATTTGTGTGCCATGCATCGTCCAAAGACATCGCATATTTGACAAAGGCCATCGAAATACTCGCCAAGGATCCTCGAAACGATTGCACCATCGAGAAACATAAAAGCACACAACGCTCGGACAAGGACATGTACCACAAGTTGGGAAAGAAGAGAAAAAAAATGTGGGAGTACTTGTTCCAGGGCAACCCCAAGACTGCATTGAATTTCCAACACGAGTACATCTATCGTAAAGCGATGGCACAAGAAGTATACGGTGGTTACCACAAGGCGGAGGTGGGGGCATTCGCGTTGTTTGTGGCGCGATGCGAAGAGATGAAGTTTCATGAGACAATGCAGCAAGTTGACGTACAACGACTACAGTGACGTCGCACGTAGAACAGATGCGTGGAATCTGATTGACAGCGATGAAGAAACTGAGACCTCGGACCTTGAAATCGACCTACGGGTTAAGCGTTCGCGAGATGGTGCACATGGTCGTGAGGAAGTGCAAAATGTTCCGGATGGCAGCGTGCAAAACGAGAACCCTGAAGGAGGTCTGCAGCAATCTGGACCACTGAGCACTCACGTGGTTGACACACAGGACAGGGCAAGTTTTGCTGGTGAATTCCCAAGGGATTCACCGACACCCGTTCAAGCCGTAATTAACGCCGTAATTCACGACAATCGCTACGGATATCAAGGAGAGAAGAGGTCCATCGGACGGATGTCTGGAGGGATGAGGATGAACGACGTGCGGGAAGACGCCGACGAGGATGACTTGGTTGTTCCACGTGTCTTCCCGAAGTTGACGTCCGGTGATGATATTCCAGAAAGCTTCATGCAGGGCTCCACCTCGCCCTATGTATTTCATGACGTGGGGGAAGAGACGTCGTCAGAGAAGTGGGGGCATCACATACTGTGGCACCCAGATGTGTTCGAACCGTGCATTGACGAGGGGAAGTAGGCAATGGCACTGCATCTGAGGGATGGCTGGAAAGTCAAACCCAGGATGGCAGAAGATTCATGGTTGAAAACCACAAACGGTGAAATCCTATTACGCGTTACGAAGGAAAACCATGGTGCCGATGAAGCCCTTATATGCGCGAAGGCCCAATCGTTGTTCGAGTCTCTACGCTCCAACAATCGCTTGGAGTACAAGCATCACTTTTACGACTTTCCATCAAGCCGGTCATATAACAAAATCAATTGGAAAATCGTACAGCCTCCCACATGTCACGGGCTCGATAGCATTACTGTTGGATGTTCGCAGCTTGCGGCAATGTCGCAGACCAACTTTGCAGTGAGTGAAGAAGAAGCACTGAGTCAAACGCGTGTCGCAGCAAACGACACAGAGAAGGGAAACACCCTTCTTCAAGGAGATGGAGAGCGGACGACTGCGGGGGTTAAGGGAGCTTCGGCGTCTCAGGCGGTCGAACAAAAATCAAACGTTGCATCATACGGGCCTCCGCTTTTGACACAGATGGGAAATGAAGGAGCATCGCAAATGGAGAGTCCCACTCCTTCAGTGGAGGATGTGGTTGCGAAGGCGATGCAACCAGGTGTGTATACAGAACTTGCAGCCGAGGCGAAAAAAAACTTAGACGAGATGATTAAACTGTTGAATGATGTGGAGAGGGAAGAGAAAAATAAACTCGAAAGGTCCAACATATCGGCCAATGTGATTAATTGCATTTCTGAGAGCGAGGAAGGGCAAGTTGCACATGCAGAGGGGGATGCTGGCGGTGAAGATGTCGGGGAAGATAACAAGGAGCAGAATGAAGGGGACGAAGGAGAGAGACTCGTTAGACGTTCGACAAGAGAAAAGGCAAAAATACAAAGGCTGAATATTTAAAGACATGAACAGGGTAGTGTGTGTGTGTGTCTGTGTGTCTATGTGTGTGTGTGTGTGTGTGTGTGTGTGTGTGTATGTGCGTGTGTGTGTGTGATGGCAACTGTGTGTAGATATGTATGCAAGTGACGTGGAGTGTCTATGTGTATATGTGTGTAGATAGAGTGACTACGCGCCATTGATATGAACAATATGAAGGACATAAAATGTTATGCAAAGTTTGAAGAGGATTGAGGAATAAAATGTTAATTGTAATATGTGGCATCATCTCTCTCTCTCTCTCTCTCTCTCTCTCTCTCTCTCTCTCTCTCTCTCTCTCTCTCTCTCTCTCTCTCTCTCTCTCTCTC